TAAACACAGTCCCCAGTAAGTTGAAGTGAAGTTGTGTTCTGTTGTTTGTCCTCCTTTGCAAACAAAAAGAGGAAATGAAGAAAATGTCAACTCTTAGGCAAGAAGTGTTAGATTTCATGGTATGTAGTGTGGATACTTGTCCTGTACAGGCTCCTAGAGAAAATGCTTAGTCATGTTTCTTTGAGGCACAGAGCCCTGATCATGGCCGAAAATTCTTCAAACTGTGTATCAAATGCTGTCAGAGGCCCTTTCATCCATCCTAATAACTAATTCAGTAATGGAAAAAAGATTTAATAAAGCTGCACCTGTTTCAGGGACGAAGAGAAAGTCCTGGTTTGTGCATTTAATGCTTCAGGGAAGAACAATCATACTTAGAAATTAGAACTGGTTCGGTTAAGAAATGGGCTCATGGTTGGGTGAGATGAAAGAGACTGAGATTTTTTATAAATGAAAGCTGTGACACTGTCCCATATTCCCTGCTAGTGTAACTCAGTGCTGCTCTTTTGAATCTCTCAGACATCCACCATTATTTTCATTAACTGAGGTCATGGGCACGTGATTATTTTGCTTGCTTAATGGAGGTGGCTTGAGATGTGACCATGTCCCAGCTGCATGTTTCTGCCCCTCTGTGGGAAGATACTCCCCTCTTCCCCAGCAAACCCAGTGAGAGAGATGGTGAGAGCATTTCTTTTTGTGAAAAGCTGGCCAGCTTAGCAAAAACTACATTTGTCAGCAGTTTGAGCTAATTGGGCTGACTTAACACTGACACTGGCAAGAAGGTGGTGACATGATTTATTGTGGTGCCGAGGTGGGTGGGAGGAAGGATGGAAAAATATCACATGGTTTGGTATATCAGTAGCGTGAGGTCAAGAATGAGTGGGAGCATCAGGTATTACAGCAAGAGAAGATTCTTCTCACATCCTGAAATTCTGCACTGTTGTCACACTGATGCAGAAACTCCAACATTATTGATGCTCAGCTGAATGTGGTTTCTTTGGGGAGAAAAACCCAAAGCACAAACACCCTCTGATTTCCTAAATGTTGACTTTATATTAACCCCAACACTCAGCAAATCACAATTAGTTTTGTTTCCAGACAAAAACACTTCAAATTGGTCTTTGCTGCTATCTGGAAGACAGAGGATAAATACAGGAATTCCCAGCACGCACATGCTGCTTCACAGTGTGAATGTAAATTGTTTAGAGGGTAAAAGTCAAACGATTTTGTATTTCTTTTTCTCACTACTTGAAGTCCAGGTGAGATGATTCCTCTTGGAGGTAAAAAGATGAAAGCTTATCCACCTTTTTGTGCTGCTTCTTCAATTCAGTGCAGCAGCCTGGGTTTGTGCCATGAAGTCTCTGCTGGGATATACTACTTTGAAAAGCACATTCTTTCACTGAAAGTTGTAAAAGATATTGAGATATTTCCATGCATTTTCAATTAAGTAAACCACTCCTTTACTAAGCACAGCTTTTAATTTGGTTAACCTTACTTTTTTATGTCTACATATATCAAGGAAGTTACTTTGTCAATTATCATTTAGATAGTAGACATTTTTGTTCAGTGCAGGGATTTGAAACATGAGATACCATGATGGAGCCCCCCCTCATTAAAATACATTGCACTGATGTGTTTTGGTTTTTTTTTAATCTCACTTCACAGCCTGAAGTTTAGTTTTTGCCATAGTATCAAAAATTCTCATTTTTTACCAATGGATTTATTTGCTAAGTAGTCAATTAGAGTTGTTTCTTCACAAATTAAAAGCAAATAAAAATCTTCTATGGAGATTCCTGAAACAACCAGCAATTCATCTTTCCTTGTTGTTCCTCCTTTTCCCATTACTATTCTCAAGCAGGTTTTCTTAATGCATTAGCTCAAGTGATTGGTAGAGTGTGATGGGGAGAAATTCATTAGTAGATGGTCATTTTGAATCAGCTCAGAAGCTATGATGAACATTTGCTCACTTCTGGCAGGTCCTCTGTGGCCCATCTGGAACAAATTAGTTTTCTTGGCACTCTTTTACTTGCACTGTAAACTCTTTGGGGCAGTGAAGAGTAGCTGGCACTAGCCCTAATCTCCAACTGAGCTCCCTAAGCACTACAGCAGTATAAATAAGTAGTAATTAGTTTGAAGCAATCACTGTCCCACACGGTAGCCTGACTCGGGGAAGGATTAGGATGGAGCTAGAAACTTTCTTCTATCTCGGTGGAACAGAGGACTAATGTGGGCATTTTTTCTTGAGTCCTCAGTCATGTTTTTCAATGGTAGAAGCTTCCCAGCTTTGGTCTCCGGGTAAAGGATTTGACGGAGTTTTAGAAAACTCTCTTTTGACTCTGACTTGGCTCAATAAGCATGTGTTCAATGGCAGCCCAGACTGGCACAACGTATGAGAGTGTATCTAGGCAGTGATGGAAGGACAAGGGAAATGTGGTCTGGGTCAGGCAGCAGTGTGTGATCTTGTTAGGGTAGCTGGATCCTGCATTGCAGGCAGTGGGATGGGGTGTGCTCTCAGCTATGGTGGGGAACATCTGACTGAGTCATCCTGAGCTCCCTTCACAGGCAGCAGGGAGCGAGTCCTGAGTTGATGGAGTTTCCAAGGTATTTTATCTCCTTCTACATTTGATCGGATGAATTCTTGTGTTGAACAGCTGGCTCAGATGTGGACATCCGCTTTACAGACATTTGGGTGGATTCAGTTCCAGACAGACATCTGAATGAGTAGGTGTTACCATGGATGCTGGCCAGCTAAGCTCCCATTAGTCAATGGAGATTTCATCTGCAGCCAGTAAAACCTGTCTCACACTAACATAGACAACAGGGGTGAGATTCTGTTGCCTGAAAATAGGTGTCTACCATCATTTAGGGGCTGTGGGTATCCCACCTGGGCTCCACCTACTGCCAGAAATCCTCCTGTAAATCACCCTGTAAATTCTTACAGGCCTCTGCAGATGTCTCAGTGCCTCAGGACATACCAAATGTCACGAGGTGCCCGTGTTTAGGCAACTGTATCCTGACTCTATAGGCTGGCTAGGTAGACCATTCTGGTTCTGGTCCACTGGCTGCATTGACCAGATGTTGTTTTACTTTAGCAGGAGCTTGGATACCTACTGTACAGAGAGACACCTAAACACAGGTGGACTAACCTCAATATTAGTACTGTGCCTGGTGTTCCAGTTGGGCTGGATCTGACTTTCTACTGACCTGGCTGCTGATGATGTACTTGTGGTCTTCTGTGAGTGTTTGTAGCCAGTCCCACTAAAGAGGCAGCCTTACTTTCCAAAGCTAGTTACTGTTTTGGAAGAAACTTCTTGTGGCTTCTGCAGAGCTACTTGCATCTCAGCAGTGCAAAGGTTTCAAGCTACTTTTGCTTCTCTGCTTCTACCCTAAACCACTAGTGTTGATTAGAGTAATGGTTCTAGAGGTGGTCATGCAGATGTGGGTAGTCCCCAAATGAGGAACATTGTCTGGTCTGTGATTACTGAGCAGAGGGATGTGGGCTGCAGGCAAAGCTGAACACACACCCCTACCTGTCTCACTGACTTCTCACTTAAGAAAGTGATGGCTGGTGCAGAGACTCCTGCTGTAAAAGCAGGAGGAACGAGCAGCCATGTAGGCAGAATTTAAATGAATGAAAAGACCATGTTCATGCTGACACACCTGAAGTCACCTTCCTGCAGTGATCAGTGCTACTACTGATACTTCTTCATGGTGTAGCTAGATCTGGAAAAATGGACCACGAGCTTGAAAAAGGTTTGGGTCCTCAGGAGGCTTCATTTGCTGGTTGCCTCCACCCACTGCTGGCATTAATTCCTGCCTCTGTCCTCCTCTGCATGCAAGTCTTCATCAGTTCCAGCCAGGCAGAAACAAGGCAGGCAGCCCAGGAGAAGGAGAAGGGAGCAAGACAGGAGACGGCTTGTTGTTGTTCTGCATGTCCAGACGCAGCGCCAGAGGGCAAGAACTTGTACCCAGCAAGGAGGGGAGATGCCAAGGACAGAGGTCAAGAGAGCAGCTGTGGCTACCCTGACCACTCATGTGGATGATATGATGCTGATACAAGTTTGCAGTAGGTCAGCAAAAGTGCTCAGCACCAAAGCCAAAGGAAGCCTGGGCCCTGCCAGCGCTGGTGATGTTGCTGCTTATGAACAGCCTGGCCCCTCTGCAGGAGCAGCAATTTAGGCAGGTTCAGCAAAGAAGCCTTATCCCCCAGGGGACTGTGTGGGGTGCCTGTATCTGGATAAAGGACCCAGCAATGAAAGACCAAAAAGAAACTGCAATAGGAGAAAACAGAAAGAAACAGCTCATTCCTGTCACATCTGACAGCTCCAGAGAGCCTCCCTCACTGGAGGTGGTGGCAGGCAGAGCTCCGCTCTCTGGCACATTCTTGAGGTGCCCCACACTCCTGGAAGCCTTTTCTAGTGGTTTGATCCCCCCTTTCCCCTGCCACAGTCTACTCATCATCCTTGTTCTGGTCTTGCTGTGCATTGGCAAGATTTCCTTCAGCAAGGGGTGTCCACAGACACTTTCCCAGTTAATGCCCTAGTATTGGTGTCCAATTTTGCCATATGACCAAGTATTTTATAGTGAGCAGAAATCCTGTCTCAGACCCTTAGCTTCATCCTTTCACTGTTTCAGAAGGTAATGTCCCATGAGTTCCTAGTGATGTCCCTTGCAAAGGTTTTCTCCCCTTAAATCAAATCAAGTCCAGCACATCTGGACAGCTCAATTCTGGATCCAAGGCAAGAGTTTCTGTTGTGGTTGGGTTTGAGTCTTGGCTGGGCTCACCAGTGGTGTCTTTTCATGTCACTGGGAATCGGTACTGGACTCTGTAACATGATGGACACTGAGGTGTTTGGAGATGACCAATGAAAGGTTCATGACCAACAAGTGTTTGTGATGGTGCAGACCCCCCATTCACTCTCCTGTCTGCAACAGCATTCAAGCGTAAAGGAAAATACATAGACACAAGCCTACCCATGGAAGTAGGGACATCCCCCTGGGTATAGCTTGAGTTGATGATTTCAGGGTCCAGACAGCAGAAGGGAACTGGTAAATGGTCTTGGCTGAGGGAAGAGCAGTACTGAGTAGCATCAGGTGCCTTTTATTGGGTCTTTTCTGCTGGAATAAAGTTGCCTTCTCCCCCTTTTTTTTTTTTTAATAAATTCCATCCAATGGGATGGCTTCTTACTGATTCTATCTTTTGCATCTGCTGCAACTTTAACTCAGTGCTAGACAGCCTGAAAGTGAATTTAACACCTCGTGGAAGCAGATATTAATTCAAACATGCTGAACAGTCATGGAGTTGTTAAAGCTGGAAATTACTTCGGTGTCTTGCTGAAATTATGTACTGAGATAGATTATTTGTTGTAACGATATGGATCATGAATGAAAGGAGGTGTATGAATGTAGAAACACTGTGAACTCTCTATTTAATTTGGACAAGTTAAATCAGGGTGGTTACTTTTTGTGGGATGTTTCTCGTTAAACTTAATTATTTCACTGATAGTGAATATTAAAGATTCCCGATTAGAAATTGCAGTCAGCTTGTGTCTGAATAATAAGTGGGGCTTAATTTAGTTATTGTTAAGTTGTTAAATGGTGTTTACCCATGTGTTTTACATGAGTTCAGAGGCATGATTTTGACCTTTAATATAGATGTTGATAAATGCAGTCTGAGGAAAGATATTCCTGGATACTCATGACATTTTAGGGGACTTCTGCCTTCAACCAACTCTGTTCAGGAATCAGTGACTCCTGAAGATCTGTATTCTGGTTTGAGCTGTGCCACAGCTTTGCTGCATGAGACAATAATACAGGATTTAATTTTCAATGCTCCAGTTTCACCATTGCTAGAATAGAGACAAGATCTTTACTCCTTTTCGTGCAAAGACAATACTGAGGTGTGAAACTAGAGCACTTTGAGATCATCTGAAGGAGCTACTGAATTGCAAAGTGCAAATATTTAGTTTTGCTGCTGGTTAGAGCCATGAAGATGTTCAGAGGGCGGGAGCACCTCCCCTATGAGGACAGGCTGAGGAAGCTGGGGTTGTTCAGCCTGGCGAAGTGGAGGCTCTGTGGGGACCTTATAGCAACTTTCCAATATCTCAAGGGGGCCTACAAGAAAGTTGGGGTAGGACTTTTTACACGGGTGTGTACTGAGAGGATAAGGGGCAATGGTTTGAAGCTTAAAGAGGGGAGTCTCAGGTTGGACATTAGGAAAAAGTTATTTCCTATGAGGGTGGAGAGATGCTGGAACAGGTTTCCCAGGGGTGTTGTGGATGCCCCCTCCCTGGAGGTCTTCAAGAGCAGGTTGGATGAGACCTTGAGCAACCTGATCCAGTGGGAGCTGTCCCTGCCCATATTAAGGGGGTCTTTAAGGTCCCTTCCAACTCAAACCATTCTATGATTTAATTATACTGATTTTCACATTCTCTCTTCCAGGTGAAGCCAACCAAAGACTCCGTGTACTTTGGAGCACTTCTCTTCCTCTACACGGGTGATTTCTACCTGAACATCAAATTCCATGAAGACAACTGCAGCAAGGAGCTGCCTCTCTCCTGGTTCTGCCTTCCCAGTGTCCACATCCGTGCTATGGAGCCTGTGGTCTAAACTAAGCTGTAAATGTATCACGTGCTACTTGATTAACCACAGTGCACAGAAATGCTTGGCACATCCTCTGCTTGACCCCAGCTTGTTTCTGTGTAACCCCAGACCACAATCTCTACTTTGGAGGAACAGCTGAACACTTTCTGAATTGGCTGATAGTCATTTGGGCAGCTGTTTTAGCTAATTTCAGAGAGAGAGAGAGATTATAACTATGCTAGAGTTTTCCTCTGTTTCCAAAAAGCCTTTCAAACTGCTAATACATGCATTATGCTTTCATGTACCCTATTGGTATCAGTGGGTCTGAAGAGGTCTCAAGGGTTGAATTTAAACACGTGTTTGAAGGTCTCAATTCCAACTTGAATGATCCCATTTTAGCATTAACAGGAGTTGTGTATCCCTAGGAAATTCCTCCTGGCTTGTGCTGGACCCATGGCGTGTACCCTCGAGGTGTTCTCTCTTAAGTCTTGTTCACAGGCTTGTTCTTGTTCATTTATTTTCTGAGTATTTGGTGGGTTTAGTGGTAAATAGCAGTAGTGATGATTTTACCTGCATTACTGGAAGTAAGAATAGCAAATGTGCCTCCAGTTATTCTCTCCCTCCCCTGAGCCCAGTTCCCCTTCTCCTGGTAGACTCACTGTCTTTAGTTTAGCAGCTCTAGATTTGGTAGATTGTTCAAGTAGATCTTGAAGAAATGGAAGAAGGAAATGAAGGACTAAAGAGTTTGTCTTTGAGAGAGGAAATAAGCCAACATTGGGGCTGCTTGGGGCTTGCCTGTGAATTTGGGCTTTCACAGTTCTGCTTTATGCAATCACAATCACTTGAAACGTTTGCAGACTCTTGAAGAGCCACCAGAATGAATCAGATGGTCGTTCATATCACTTTGCATGAGTTTTTACAAACTCTTCTGATCGGATTTTTCATGCTAATAGGCTGGGCTTGATTATGTGGTTGAGGGTTTTTTCCCTTCTTTTTGTTAGAATGATTAAGTTTAATTATTAGGCAATTAAAGCCATGGAATTCCTGTGCATAGAAATAGTTGATGAATTTACTGAAAATTTAGCCTGTTGTGTTTCAGAACAATGGTTTTGTCTAAAGAGACCTGAATTTACCCCATGTGAAGCAGGGAAATGTTTGATTTGTGTGATTAATATATTATTTCACAGACCACAAGTTTCAAACCTGTCTTAATATTTTCTTACATTTCCAGCCTGCAGCTCTGAAATTTGGTGGTAGTATCTGTTCAGGGATGGTTATTCCAGGGTGTGGCACGGGGGCTCCAGTTAACTCTAGATGTGCTAAACCTACTTGCCCAACCTCCTAGCAGATTTTTTGGTTGTTTAGGCTTCATCCAAAAGGGTGCACACCATTCCAGGTCTGACCTGGCCCATCCTGCTCATGCAGTGGAGCTCCTCCTGGCTCTCTGCACCGTGTCCAGTTGGACTTTTTGATGTGACTGGAATTTTTTTCAGGGAATGACAGTGCTCAAAACTCAATTTGCTGCATGTTTGCAAAGGTTTGCAACTTGTTAATCCTAGATATATTTCTAATTTGAGGGAATTGTAGCTATAGCATGGTAGGTATTAGGTATATTTCCAGTGAATGCAGGGTATTATCTCTAAAAAAACCTATGTAATGTGGCAGTGATATCAGTGTTTGCTCTTGAGCTGTGCCTCTGTATCCAGCTTTGAATGCCAGAGTCTTCAGTCTTGAACTAATGAAAATCTGAGACCAGCTGAAGATTTAATTGCAATGATGTCCTTCTCTGTCAGCTGCCAGCATGCAATGTCCAGTGAGGAAACTGTTCCTTAGACTTGCAGAGTGGTTCTGGGCCAGAGGCACCCATGGATAGAGGGTGCAAGCAGCTGAGTTGGGCAAGGGAGTTGTGTTAGTTGACCAGTTTGCAACATGTGGCGAAATTCCCTGTCACTAGATAGGCATATACACAGAAAAATATGAGCCCCAGAGAGCAGGAATTGAAGCAGTTAATCTTCTCCATAAAACCCTTGCTTTTGATATGTGTCTCTGTACTATGTTACACAACACTGTTGCAGCAAAATCCAAGTTGAGTTTTATTCAGTATTTCCAGCAGGTAATCTGCAGATGCTAGGAATACAGCTAAGGCTTTGTGAGGACCACATTGCATTTGAAACAACAGTATTGAGAAGCAGATGCTGGAGCAGCCAGGATGCTTCAGCTTACCCAGCTGAGGAATCATTTCCTACTTTATTTTTGAGAGAGTTCTCTGAGATCAGAGGATATTGTTCTGTGAAGCTGGGATGCAACACTACTGTGTCTTTTACTTATACAGGATCTTGATCCTCAGCCTGCTGAAGCTGTTGGAATGGGAACAGGTTTTACTGTAACAAAAGCAAGCTGCATATTTCCTAGGCTTCCAATATGCCATTATAAATCAGCCATATGTGATCATAAATATAAGTTCTTGTGTGTGAGCTGACCCTTAATGGTCTATCTGTTCATTATACAGTAGACCACTCTGTCCCTTGTCAACTTTGATGCTTAGTTGCTCTTGGCATTTATGATGTATTTCCAGATTTTTCTCACACTTTTACTTGTCTTCATGGGAGAGATGAAACATGAGATACTCTTCCTTCTGGGCATCATTTGTGACTTGTCCAGAAGGAGAATATTTAAGTGTCAGCATAGTTTGGAGAATGGTGAGGAAAAGATGCTTAAAATGAGAATACTGCATCACTTTTGCTTTTCTTATTACTGGAAGTTTTCACTGGAATTGCTGTCAGAATTGGTCCTTGCAGTGCTTGGAAAAAAAAAAAAAAAGTGATACTTTTCTGATCTGCTCTTCTTTTCTGGAACTGAAAACTTGTTTTTATTTCTCCAAACCACCCAGCTATTGTTTTGAACAAGATGAGCCAAACTGCATTGTTACACAGATGTAAATCTGATGTGATCCCACGTGGTTGAATTATATAATTCCTAAGTTAAATCATCATTGCTGAGAGAAGACATTGGTCCAAAATATGTAGGCACTGGGGAAGCACAAGTTGGGTAAACTGTCTGAATAAATACTTCTCTTGTGTTATTGATGCCTCTGTCTCTTCTGTGTATAATTCTTGATATTATTCTTGTGTGTTTTTACTGGTAATAATGAAATATCTGTTGATGCTGCCTTCTGTCTCTGAAATAATGTATTTGACCCTGGAGCTGGAATTTCAGCTTCACTCAAGACTTTCTCTGCCTAGATGAACCCAGAGCTGATGAAAGTGTGTGCTCCATGGGCTGATTCCCATGTCAGTGGCCATTAACTGTCACCTGAGGGGAGAGGTGCATGAAAAGTTACTTAAGCCTCAGCTTAATACTGGCAGTGAGGGTGGTGAGACACTGGCACAGGTTGCCCAGACTGTAGACATCCCATCCCTGGAAACATTCAAGGTCACGTTGAAGGGAGCTCTGAGCAGCCTAATCTAGTTGAAGATGTCTCTGCTTATTGCAGAGGGGTTTGACAAAGTGACATTTAAAGGCCCCTTCCAACCCAAACTATTCTGTGATTATATGATCCTTTGCTGCCTTTATATAAACAGCTAAAAGCTGGAAGGAGACCCACTCATGGAGGTGGTATGTCTGGAAAGACTGATTGGAAGCACTTGTTTTGTGTGCACCATCTGATGTCCAGCCCTGTTTGAGCTCCTTCTGTAAAGCTCTTCTGAGGCTCCTGTGTTTTGGTTCCCAGTGTAGAAGTTCTTAAACCTTCCATAGTGAGAGCCAGTTGCAGTCTCCCATCCTTGGATCCTCTAGCTCCCTTCCTGGGTGTGGGCACATTGTGTCTCACTGCAGTGGGACTGTGCATCCACCCTACTTGCACTGAGCACACCAGAGCAGTGCTGTCTGCCAGCTCCCTGAGATGCTGAGTATACCATCAGCATCAAGAGCTCTGGGCTTGCAAGTTAGCTCTCTGGGCACAGGTGGGATTTGAAGGCTTTCCTACAGGTATGTGCTTTGTGATTGTAGAAACTAATGCTCTTTTCTTCATACAGAAGACAATAACATCTGGCCAACATTCATGGCCAGTGTTCAATAATACGTGTTTAATTCTGCAGGTTAAGCCATTCTGGGGCTTAGGTCAGGGTCCTAGGGTTATCCAGCATCTTGCTCTTTTAGCTCTTCATTTCTGATCTCTCTCTCCCTCACTTCATCCTTCCTACCAACTCTTCCACTCACTGCTTTCCTGCTGTTCCTTGGTTGATTCCAACAGAAGGAATGAACATGATCCTTTCTTTCTCCCCCTCCTTCATCTGCATCTCCATCAGAGCCCTCCTAACACTTTGGTCATTGGGGAAAAAGAATAATAAAATGTTTCAAACCCTATTTCAGTTGTCAAACTGGAGTTTGGTTTCTATATCCTCTCTTAAAAGCATCTTGAGATATTTCAATGGAATGGGACCTTGTCTGTTTCATTACCATCTGGTGTTATTTGTTGGAGTGATACTTAGACTACCTTATTCATGATGCATCAATTCCAGAACACCAGTGGGACTTGTGCTGTGTATAAGTGACATGTCATTTAACACATTTTGATGCAAGGGACCCTGGGACAAGGAGAAGACATCTCAGAAGCGGGCACTGTAGTTTTAATACATGAGATATATATATATATATACATATATATATATATATATATAATAAGTCAGAATCATCATAGAATCACAGAATGGTTTGGATTGAAAGGGATCTTAAAGATCATCAAAGCCCAACCCCCCTGTCATGGACAGGGACACCTCTCACTAAATCAGGTTACTCAAAGCCCCTTCCAACCTGGGTTTCAACTTCCAGGACAGTATTTCCTCAGTGTTTGTCTATATCAACCACAGTCGTGAACCCTGAAGGCATAAATCAGGTGCCTAAACTTGCTGGGGAAATCAGGTTATAGCCACAGGCTGTGCCCAGGATCTGTTCTGTGGTTCTGTGGTGGTGAGACAATGGAACAGGAGGCGGGGGGCTTTTGACAAGGGCTTGTAGTAAGAGGACAA